CTAGTTCGGAGCAGAGTCAATTAATCTTGGGGAAACCTACCTTGTATTTATTAATTATTATTATATAAAGGCAGCTCCATTAGTCTTGCAACAAGACTTTAAAATTCCAACTAATTCTTTAACATTAAAGTCCATCCTAGAACAGATATATCATGATGTCTCTGCTTCCTCTGTACTTAGCTTCACTTTTTGCTATAAAAGGATTACCTTTTAGTCTTTAGCAATGTTAGCATGCTTGCCAATGCACTGCTTTACGACATACCTCGATGACAACCGCATGTGGCAATTCTGGATACATAACTCCTCACTTGTTGTTCTGGTACAATTGTCAAGAGTACATTAGTATCTGTGCCACATGTATAATTTCACAACAGGTGATAAATGAAACGTTATGGAATATTTAAAATGTGTGTGACTCAGGAGCCTAAAACATTTTGACTCAATGTTTTTCCATGAGATTTTTATCCTCAGTCATGAAATAGGAATCTGAAAATACTGTTTTTTCCACACAAGGACTGAAGTTCATAATTTCTACAGCCAGTGGAAAAAAATCAGTTTTGTAATCAAATAGCATTTATTTAAAACAAAAATTTTCCATTAAAATTTCATTTCCTTCAAAATTTTCCAGTTTTAGTTTGAAAAACCTCAAACTGAATATTTTTTTGGTTTTTCATTGAAAAACAGAAACATTCCATTGAACATTTTGAAAAAAAGACTATTTTATTTCTTTCAAAAATTTTCACAGAAAATACTGGCCCTCGCTGTTCTCACTTTTCCTCCCACATACATTAGAGTTACTTTTAAATTAACATACAAACTGGGTTTTGTTTGTTTGTTTTAAAAAGAAACTTCAAATTTACAAAACCGCTGCCAATTAGCCAAACCTTAATTTTGTAAATTTATTTAGGAAAAAAATTAACATGAGCAAATGAGAATATTTCAGTGTTACAACAGAATATATGTGTCTAGCAATTGTCAAATAATTTGATTTTTAAATACAAAATAACCACATGAACACCTAATATACAGGTTTCATCTGAATACATATTTATTAGATAAATATTAGGTTGTCACATCATCTAACTACATACAGTTTTGCAAGACTAAAAATCACAATTATTTTTTCTGACCAGTTTAAAGTATGAAATGATTGCATTGTACTGTACATACAATGTACAAACAAAGACAATGGCCATTTTTGCATGTTACTTCAGATTGTACTTTTTTTTTTTAATTCTCCTCTGATCATGATATCAAAAATTGTACAAAGTATGAATTTGGTTACAATTTTTTTAAATCCCCTTATTTTCTTCATTATTTCTGTAGCACCCTAAAAATACACAGGTGATAGACTAGTACACTTAAGCTAATTATTACATGTAGGTAAAACAAAAACAAAACAAACAAAAAATTCTTTCCACAAAGGGTCAGAGTATATTACAGAAGTGAAAGTGAAACAAATGCTGAGACTTCACAAACGCTAACGAACAGGATTCATTTTCCACATAAGATGGCGCTTCAAGCTTTTTTTTTTTTCCTGCAAAATAAAAACAATGCACATTCCAAGGAAAATGAATACATTTCTGTTAACATGTCTCTATTCATCATTTACATATGTACAGATGTCCCTTGAGTCTCCACTGCAGACATCGGTGTGTATCTGTCAGTCCTATAATAATGTCTTGGCAGACTGTAGATCGTTGTGGGTTCTTTCCCAGATGAGCTTCCATAAGGAAACAATTTTTAAAAACCAAAAAGCAGATTAAAACACTACTGGGAATTTGATATAATAATTAACCTTTAAAGGAAAATAACTGTGATTATCCTATTTGGTAGGTCTTTCCCTACATTTTAACATTATGGCAGTGAACAGATTAAAAATTATCCGTATTTTCATTTAGAAGTTTTTTCACATTGAATCTATTGTACAGTACCTGACGTCAGCTGACGAACAGTCTTGAAAATGTCTCAAATTTCTGACAGTTTGATGATGGCTAAAAATCCTAGTGTCACTTTTTCTTAGGAACCAAGTGTTTCTGTAGGCTTAAAATATCCATTTAATTCTCTGTTATTAATGTACGAAGTAGAAAACCACCGCAACCACATTGCCATTCTCTGTGGGATTTTCTGTTTATGTTTCCCAACAGGTACCTCTACATGATACAGTTAGACGACTACCAATTAGCAATAGATTGATTCTTAACGTATCTGGTTTGAAAAGCGTAGACTCATTTTAATAGATGAATCATTTCAGGTGGCTAATTTAGCCAGCTGCTCGAGCAACAATAGGGTAGAGCAATTAAATAATCATTAACAAAATCAATTACAGAATCCGAGCAACCAATTCCAACTCAGAGTGAGAAGTGTTCTTTATTCCAAGATCTATGACTAAAAACCCCCAAATACCTAAAGGCAATACAAAGTCAGTTTATCATTATCTGCCCATGCAAATGACTTCAACACCTACATAAATGATGCAGCAAAAATACAGGGGGAAAACTACTACAGTAAAACCGGCTACAAAACACATTGGTAACTGAAGGATGGTCTTTCCTACTAATTGCGTGAGAGTGGCACCACACCACAACCACGTCACCATGTATTATACCAAGATCTCTTTAACATTCTGCAGAGATCCTCTACATGTGGTCAAGTCTAGAGAAGAAAAAGACAGTTCTAAGCAGAATAAAACATACTGTAATGTTTCCCTCCCCACCCACCAACACACTTATGTGTTAGACAGCTCCAGTCTCAAAGGCTGGAGGAACAGAAGAGTGATATACATATTGTATCTTATATACTTGCTGCTTGCCTTAATGCATGTTTACTTGTTTTCAGGGCTGGCTTTAGGGGTTCTGCTGATGTAGGCAAAATGTCTGCCACTAACCAGCCCATAATCACCCACACAAGTCAATGAAGATTATTTTTTGCCCCAGGAAATTATTATTCACTTTGCATGGCAGAGCTGGAACCTGATTACCCAGGTACTGCCTGATGTATCAATTCATTTGAGAAATGGATATGAAAGTTGGGCTAATTTATCAAAGAAAAAAATGCTCCCTCATTCTGTTAAAGAACCCTACTTTGTTTTTTTTTTTTAAAGGACCCATTTTTTTTTCCAGACAAGGTATTTAAAAACACCAGCAAAAGGATAACCAGATGATGAAAATGTTGAATATTATCAAAGACGATACTAAAATATTCACAAAGATATTTACAATAGCAATTCTTAAAATAATTGATTTTGCATAATGAACAGCGCCTTTTAAAAAAACGTAAAACAGGAAAAATATAAGCGTGGGAACACCTCTACATAAAATGTTTGACAAATTCAATACGCCTATTGGAAAATAAAAGAACTAAACCGCCATTTCCTTTAATATCTACAGCAAGGTGCTGCGGACTAGCATATATATATATCACGATGCATGTACAGCAGTAGTGGGAAATGTTAACAAAAAATACGCAAAGAATTTACAAATATTGACTTTGGTGAGGAAAGCAAATCCAGAACTGTAAGCACGTGTCATGCCATTTACAGCATTGCAAACTAAAAGGGAAATGGGGGAGGAGGGATTACATATTCAAACAGACAAAAAAAAATCCTAACAAAATTCCATCTGGCACTTTAAGTTTAAAACATATTGTTCAGAACAACTAAGGGACTATTTGTTGGGATGTGGTGGTCAAATTTGCTTTTGTAATAAAGAAAGCAATAACTGTACAGTGGGCAAAAGCTGAAATGTCGCACCACGAGGGCAAAGTTGGCACACATGCACTTTTTACACAGCTACTGTACATAATTTATGAGAGCGCGAGAGCGAGTGCACAAAAATGGGCACCGAAGCAGTAGGAAGCTCATGCAGGAGAAGCAACCACACGAGAAGCACAGATCACAAGGGCAAGACAGTGATTGTGGCAGCAGGGTCTGTTGAGGGCAGTAGTAACCTACCAACAATTACTTATTCTCCCCATGCCCATCCTTCTTGAAAAATAAAACCTCCTGGGCTGCTAAAGAGTTAAAAAAACAGGGCAGAAAAAGGCTTAATTACGTGTAACAGTCTTGTAAACAAAACACAAAGCAAAACAAAAGAGAAGCTCTAAGGTGTCTGTCCAATTTCAATGCTCCTTTCAAGCTCTTAAAAAAAAACACAAAAAAATGCCAAGAGTGATGTTACTCTATCCATCCGGCATGGAGCTCTTCCCTGCCTTCATCCAGCTTGTCCTGCTAGGCATTGTGCAGTACAGAGGATCTAATGACAGAGACTGAACACACTGAAGGCTCTGGGAGATAGAAAACTTTTTACACTTCCTCCCCGCTCTTTTTCTGCTTTGTATGGATATATGGGATAAAAATAATCATGTCAACAATTGGATAACGACACAGTTACAAATGGTAGTGATTGGAAATCCCCTCCCCCCCCAAAAAAACCAAAACAAATTTAAAGGTTTTTTTCTGAGTCTGTGTGTCTAAGCAGAGGGATCCCTTGCAAACAGGTGTCGCAGATTCCTACGCTTTATAAACACAAACACACACTGTCTGCAGCCTGGAGATTCTCAGGGCTCCTCTACTGAAGACAAACACTAGTTATGCAGATGTCTCCCTTTGATGCATTTCTTTCCGACTTTTGATTTTTATTGTATTATTTGTGCTTTTTGGTGATTTAGATGTTTGTTTGTTTTCCTTTATGTGTGTGGCCAATACAATTTGTCCAACACAAATCTGCAGTTGAGGGGGGAAGGAGGGAAAGCAGGGGAAGGGTTTCAAAAAAATGGAAGAACACACGTTGGAAGGACATTCTGAGACCAGTCAATTAGGACAGTTCCATTCTTTTGCCTTTTGTTTCCTTGCCAAGATCGGTTCTTGCCAGTATACTTCACACTATGTGTATCATAGAACTCTCTCCCTATAGGATTAACAATGAACGGGGTTTCCATTAGCTGCACTATTGTCTATGCTTTGTTATGACAGGTAGCGGCAGTCTACAAGATCACTGCATTTCTTTCTTTTTTCCCCCTCGCCTTGCTTTCAGAGTCAGTGAAGCTGACAAAACCAGTTCTGAGATGAAGAAAGCAGGGAGTGCACCATTCGATCGAGTCTGAGTTTGTTGGTTTTTTTGTGGAAAGGGAGTGTGAAGATTCCTCTTTGTGCAGCTACCCACGTGCGGACAAGTGAGGGAGTGGGGAAAATACATAGGGTTTCAGTTGTTCTCAAAGAGAGAGAGAAGGTCATCATTGCTATTGCTTGGCAAGTCGGGAGGATCCAGGTACGAAAGCAGCTCATCTGGATTTGTGAGTTCTGGAAGCAGCTACAAAATATAAAGTTAAAAGGAAAATTAAAGGTAATGGAAACAGATTGGCAGAACGAGGGATTAAAAACTGCACATACCTGGAAACTGACTGTAATGTATCTACATCAGAACAAATCCAAAGCATAAACAGGAAATTAAGATGGTGTAATGTCAAGATTTTTTGGCCACTTCATAGAGTATAAGGCTAGAAGGAACCACTGTGATCATCTAGTCTGAGCTCTTGACTGGGAAAGTCTGTATAACCCACTTTTGGCATAAGAATTGCAGTCATCCCAGTACTGTGTCAATTACAGTCTCAAGGCCAACATCCTTAACATGAATTCCTTTTGTGTAGGGCAAAGTGAGTTTATTCCATGGGTTACAATTTATTCCCTGGCTGGTGATATTTGCAAAGGTTTTTCTTGCCCATGTATATGGCTTTCTCATAGGGAGCACTCATAAAAGTTATACGCAAATACATACTCTAAATATGCACTAAGTTTGATCAACAATTATCGCTCAGCTTTAAGTAGGCAAAGTAGGATTATGCATATCTGCATGGAAAGATGAATCGGCAGCAGTATCTTATGGGTGACCCAAGCTGGGTTAATGACTCAGAGGCACTATACCCCTGTCTGACAGCAGAGTGCACTCACTATTCGCTATAGCTTTTGAAGAGTAACTGCAGAAATATTTTGAGATATATTCCCACTGACATAATGCTTCAAACAGGGAAAATTTCTTCTTCAAAATTCCATTCAGATCCCTTTTTGGTCTGACATATATACAGGAATCCTAACTACTCAGTTTCACAACCAGTGACATTTTGCAGTTTATTCTGCTCCTAACACTTTCTTGGTAAAAAGCAAAAATGACAAATTTAAACTGTGGCAGTGAAAAGGAGTATGTAATAAGCACTTTTTATATTCAAAATTCTTTTAGTGCCAAAATAAAAAATATGGATTACTTCAACAAATGAAATAGCAGCTCAGATGCACACTTGTAGTTGCTATGTGTTTATCCAATGCTGCAAAACTAAAAGCTAGACTTTAATATATTACACTTTGTATATTAACATTACACTAATATATTTTTAGTATTCTTATGCAAATACAGTTTTCATTCCCTAACTTTAAACAGGTAAATTTATATTGCAATATTTTAAAAATGAAATGTAAACATAATCTCTAAGTTTTATGAGAAACACAAAGATTGTATTTTTTGTATTTGCTTTTTAAAAGTATGATTGCGATGATTAAAAAAGTTGCATCTCCCAGAGGAAATAATTGTTATTGTTCTTAACAATATCTACCTTCTATTCAGGAACATGCATTAAATGTAAAAAAAGCATTGTCACCACAAAGACTACTGGGCAATGACATGCAACCCTTCCATACATTAGTATAATTTGCATTACAGTTCTGTATAGTTGGCCATGTTCAGAACTGCGGCCTCACCGTGCAAAGCGCTGTACAGAGTACAAGGCAGCCCCCACTCTCAAGACCTTACAGTTAATTAATGATAAAGAATTAACGTAATGTTATTGAGGCTCACTGTATGCATTTTTTTGCAAGGGTGGATTTAAACAATCTCTCCCTCCACTATCCCGCAAGCCATACTTTTCCAAGTTTGAGGGGTGCATTTAAAATAAAGAAGCAGTTGTAAAAGATCAGGGAGTCGTTAGTATGTGGCCGAAACCAAGCAGTTATACCTGTGTGGCCCTCCGTGAATTACTGTGTAAACATAATCTGTTTAGTTATTTGTGCCAGTTATTAGGTATCTTGGCACACTGTCTGAGCTTGTAAAAAGAAGACTTCTGAAAACTAGAGTGTCTTGAATTGCTGTATAAACACAAGAACAGATCTACATCTATATCTGGATAATGTAGATCTTTGTACAGAAGAGAAATTCTCATGTTATGGGAATCATCATACTGAGCCACACTGAAGCAGATTATTCTGCCCAACAACGAGTACACCATGCTAGATTACTACCCATTGCACATTTTGAAGTTATCTTTTAGTTCACTGATAACACTGCATGGCATTTTTATCCAATCGTTACTTCATAACATGTTCACTGAAGACTAAAGTCATCACCTAATGAACTCAAAGAACTCCCACTGAACATTCTGCAGTATTTGTCTCATTACCTAGGTAAAGCAATTTCAGGGCCTCTTCAAGAATCCAACATGATTCTATCGGTGATAACCATCTCTATCTATCCAGATTTCTACACTATGATTATCCCCAAAGAATGAGTGCTTCAACCAAAAGAGCATTCTCTACGTTACCTAAACATGTGTATGAGAAGGAGCCTAGCTGTTTATGTGACCCATTAACACTATTTGAATGTGGTCTTTAATGGCTTTGTTCAGTAGCTGCCCCTCAAAGTGCATCCCCCAACGGCGTAAGTGAGCTTGCTATGAATGGTAGCAGAATCTGGCTCACAGTAAGTTCATGTCTATACTAGCACTTATGTGGGCAAAACTTTTGTCGCTCAGGATGTGAAAAAACACCCCCCAGAGCGACATACATTTTGCCAGCATAAGTGCTCATGTGCACAGCACTATGTTGGCAGGAGACGCTCTCCCATTGACATAGCTACCGCTGCTCGTTGAGCTGGTTTTATTATGTCAATGGCAGAGCTCCCTCCCGTCGGCATAATGTGGCTACAGGAGCGCTCTTACAGTAGCACCCGTATCAGTACAGCTGTGCCGCTGTAAGCTTGTAAGTGTAGACATGGCCTTAGAAACTGACCTGCCTAGAACTTTCATAGTTATTAAAGGAGGAATGACCAGAATGACTTGGGTCATCCTGTTTCCCCTACTTCCACCCTTCCTCCTTTTGTATGGTTATTTAAAGACACGGTGCTGTTCTGTGACAGAGAACATTTAAAAGCACGAGCAATAAATACATGTGCAAGACTGCAGCACAACAGTAAGCACTTCTTTGGAAGTTATAATCACACCATGTATTGAGTTCACAATAGAGACTGAAAATATGAGGATAGGAGCAAGGTATTCAAAACCAAACCAAACCAAACCCTAGCATGAAGAAATGTATGTTCGAAGAAGTGCTTGGCTAACCAAAAGGATTCCTGGAGACAGATAAACTAACTCCTTAACCTTGTTTGAAAGAGAGGATTACGATTTGCCTTAAAACAGCATACAGAAGTAACTCAGGATTCAGTCATGAGCTGCCTTAAGCAACCAAACAGGGAAGTAAAGGGACAAAAGGCATTCTCTTAGCTTGCTCCCCTGCAGTGGAACCCTCAGGGCTGGTCAGTGCATAGTGAGGGAGAGCAGCCATTGCAGGGCTGCTACTGCACAGGTGGGTGTGGGTGGAGATAAGCTTTCACCCAGACACCAGTTAGCATGGAAAGGGATGGTAAAGGATGCCAGGCTGGCGCAGATTACTATGTCCTAGGAGCAAGGGGGGAAGCAGGCTCTGAATTGTGACTCTCTCAGTACAATTCAGTCCATTCACCTGGGGAGGGCAACTGTGCCCTGCCCCTGACTCAGGGCCTGTGGTAACTTCAGGATCTAGCCCTTAATATGCAGGCTCACCAGTCCAAAGAAGAAAAACAAATCAGATGCTTAAATGATTTGTTGTCTTGAGAAAAGCTTGGCCCCATGGAAACACCCTCACTAGAAAGAAGATACGGCTTGCGTGTCATTCAGCTGCTTACAACAGAAAGGTTTTCTCAGCAAGCCAAGAGTGCCTATCATCTCAGCTTCAGTGATTACGTTCATGTAACTGCATGAAACGATGACATGTGCTGTGAAAGCTGTTTCCCCTTCCCTCTCCCTGCCCTCCCCCGCCATCTCTCAGAAATGTAAAGCACATTCCAAGGCAGGCAGATGATAGTATGACACAAACTTACATCCAGTGAGGGCTCCGGCATGTCAGATGCTCCCTGTCCACCAGCCTGACCTTCTAAGGCTGAGGAGGGGTTAAAAGTCAGGTCACTGTGTGGATGGTTGCTAGAAGCGGCCTGTGGTGGCTGCCGGGACTGCTGGGTAGGAGGACCACTGTGATGTAATGGCTGCCCTGACTGGCTGCTGGGGTGAGGTACGTGCAAACCTTGCTGCATGGAACTATGGGATTGATCAGTGCTGCCAGGATGAGGGATCTGCGAAGGAGGAAAAAAGCAGGAAAAGAAAGTGAGGCCACAAGGTACAGTGCTCAAGGTGTTTGAAGAAAATGAAATTCCTCAACTGAATGTTAAAACAAAACAAAAAAAAAAAGCCATCAGAAAAGAGAATCCCATATCCCAATATCAGAGGAAATGTTTGTCTCTTTAAAGGTTTTCCGCAAAGGGGAGAGGGCACTGAATTTGTGCTATTTATTTGCTTCTTCATGATGGGTAAACAAAGCCTTAAACGTGAGAAAAGAGCAGGGTAGGAAGGTTCTGCTTATTTCTTTACATTAATAATCCAGGTATGGTTGACCCTGTTTTTCCTGGAAGTGTCTATGGATGACTGGAGAAATAGTAGGTGACATCAAAGAAGCTAGTCAAGGGAAACCTGCTTAACCGAGAAGACAAGTGATCGTTATTCAGACTATTTTGGTTAAGTAGGCAATATTAACAACACTTTATTCCATTCTGGTTATTACTTTATTAAAAACACCTGGCAGAAAACCTTTCTTTGTCAGGGACCTCTGTCCTTCAGTTAAAGGCTGAGAAAGTTCCCAGTCCACCTCTGAGTCACCCAAGAACTCCTCTTTCAAAATCCGAGAGGGTGAGGACTTGCCAGTCCTGACATTTCTATGTGCAAAAAAATTCCAACCCCCCCAAATTAAACAAATATTCAAAACTCTGTTATTGGGGTGGTGGGGAATGGTCTTCTGTTCTTCAATTCACATCATAAAGAAGCAATCAAAGGGCACAAAGCCCTATTTCCCCCCTTCCTTTCCATGCTACCTTTCATGTTGGAGTGTTCCTGGGAATTTGATCTTGGTGCCATGAGAAAAAAAGTGCATGAATGTTCATGGAACCAATGTGTTCACGTTAATTGGGTAGATGGATAAGCAAATGTGAACATTTTTTGAGGAATGCTACATATTGCCACAAAGTAGAGCTGAAATAAAAGAGCAAATGCAAACAACAGCATGAAAACAATCCAACACAAACCAACAAAAGCCAGCAAAACTCTGTCAGAATTGACCCTTTCACTTCAAAGGGAATTGTCAGGTTATTTAGCTGGAACATTTTAATTTTGGAAAGTAAAAGGGAGGTTTATTATAAAAGCCTATGTTAATAGAAATATTTTACAACAGTCAAAAATATAACTGAAACCAGTCATTTTTATTCAAATATTTGTCTACAATTCTGTATTTTAATTTCCAGTGGACCTGACTGTCATTTACACAGAGGGCCCTTTACAATACTCTGGCTATGTAAATGGTGCTGAAAGTGGGTGTAACTGTAATTTAGGTCTCTTTATATTGCCAGAATAGTGCAAAGGAGCCTTAAGCCTTGTCAACACAAAATTGCACTCCTTTAATTATACTGGTATAGTTAAAGTGGTGTAACCCACTCTAGTGTGGGCTTTTGTTATGCCAGTATAGTTATTCCCATACAGGAAGGGGAATAAGCTCTATACTAGTTATAAAGCACCTTTATGCCAGTATAATTGTGTCCACAGTAAGGGTTCTACTGGTATAACTAGATCAGTAAAAAAAAAAAAATTCACACCCCTCACTGATGTAGTGATACAAGTACAGGCCTTATTGTAAATGAGTGTCAAAGCTAATAAAGTTATGAAATGCAAGAGAAATTGGACAGTCAGTGTATCTCTAACAAAGTGAGTAAATGTACACCAGAAGTCGGGAAAAGTAAGCTAGAATTTTTTAAAAAATATTTATTTTTAATAATTCAAAGTAGTGTTGATAAAATGGGAAAGAAGATTTTTTTTAAAAAATATGATTATCTTGGACTCCTGTTTAATTTATGCCATTTAATCCGAAAAAGCACAACAGTATGAGTATGCTGGAATAATTGCTAGAAATTTATAAAACCAATTATTTAAACCAAGAGTCATTCTTATGTTCTCAGACAGACACACTTCAAAGCAGAGAAATATTTTAGGCAATATGTGAACACCACTGTTGACAAATGATATTTCTGGCTAGTCAAATAAATATTTTGATGCCTGAGCTAGTTACTGGATGGACAATGATCGTTCATAACAACATCAAAGGATAGGGAATCCAAAAAAGCTGCATTATACACCAATGTCTAACTCTACATTTGAGTGTTGTTTATAAGGTGAACTTGTGTCTCAGACAGACATTTGGGCTTTAAATCCACCTTATTTAGTGTATTATTTACCATAAAATCCCATAAAAACTACCCGTGAAAAAAAGCCCATGAGGATGCAAAAGCAGGATGCAGCATTTCTAAACATCACTCAGACATCTTTAATTTCTTCATATCCCTATCCTTGTATCTTAAAGACACGAATCCACATTATAAAAAAGCTGGATGCACAGTCTAACAAAACTGCTTTTGTTTTACAGCGTGGCATACACACCAAAGACATCTAAGACCACAAACTTTTCTGGGTTTTTGTACTCCTATAACTTAAGATGGAGATATACACAATCTATACAATAGCAGTTTATACCAGAAATAGGGATGCAAGCCCCTTTTCCAATTTAATGTCACAAAATGGCACTGACCACATTTATAAGACTGACACTAAGTTCTAGAAATCTTGATATGAAGTACACCTGCTTAGCTTGAACATGCCAGCCAAAACCTAATATTCCTTTGACCTCATTAGAAAACTGATGGTGGGAAAAGGACTAAGAGGTAAATTCGGCAGCCCATCTTTGGATCTCACTGCAGAGAGTTACAGTGCTGCTAAATGTACGGTATTAATCTGGGTACCACGTTCATATGGAACTCTTCTTCTCCTCTGCTTTTCAGAGCAATAGGCTTGAAATTAGTCTGAAATCTCCTCCTCCTTAAAACTTATTTGCAACCTCTGAAATGTTATGAAAATATATAAATATGAAGAAATTGCACCTACTATGTTGCAGTCTTATCTTACATCTGTATAGAGCCTTTCCCACCACGGAATACCAAAACACTTTATAATCTAGGGGTTTATTTCTCCTCTCGTAGCCACACGCTGGATTGGGGATTGATTTTCTCTTCTTGCTACATAGGTGGAACACCACTGTTGACAATGATATTTCTGATGATCGAATTCACTGTTACCAGAATCTGTCTATGTCTCACCACACACATTTCCTGGAGCGATCTACATTGTGTGTGAAGAAGGATCAAGTTTCACTAGTTTCCCCTCTATGCAGGCTACTCTATATAGTCCATTAAGGGATTACTTGCAACTTCCTCTGAAGTATCCGGCATTCATTGGTCAATGTTAGTTAGATACAGGACACTGGCCTAGATGGCCATTGGTATTGCAATTTTATATTTCTATATTCTCAGTGAATAGCAGAATAATAAACAAGCTATCTGTATAGCGCTAAAGGTAAACAGCATACACAAACTACTCAATGACCATTTTTTATGTTAATACATCTCTTATCATGCAGTGTGTTACTTAGTTATTTTAATGTATTGATGTCCAGTTCAGGTATGCACTTTATGAGTCTGTGCAATGGAATGCAGTTACTGAAAAGCTGAGGGTTTAAAGTAATCTTCCCTGAATGCTTGCTATAGTCAAGCCAAGAGTTATAATTTTAAGGGAGGGAAGAGAAAGAAAGACAAAGGGATAAAAATGGATACTTTATAATACTCAAATAGCTAAATTAGAATCCTGACGTAACCTCTTCTACGGGAAATATCTGAAGATTTAGGGAAAGATTCTCTAATCCAATCTGATTTTCTTGCGCTATTCAGGCAGCACAAGGGAGATGGAAACTGGCTATAACTTGTCAGCTGAGAATCCCCCTCATGTGCAGGAAGGAACTATCAGCTGACATAAACCGGATGGAGCCTACTTTAGTGCCATCTCCACTCCACTAGCATAGAGTGCAGGTCATGGTGGGGAGAAAGCGAAACAAAGCAAAGCTCTGTTCCATCAGTTACCAACTAGTATGAGTAACTAGCTCACAAACTGACCACAGAATCAAGGAGCCGTAAATAGCTCCATAATTGCCCCTTCAGTCTCCTGCACCAAGTGAAGCCCAGAGACTGGAGAGAATTTTGCCCTTCATATTTTCTCTTAGCTTACCGAAGGCCACACAGCTCCTCAAGCTCTGCATTCTAATATCAAGCCACTTGCCTTTTGAATCTTCTGCCACTTGTCATGTGAAATGTCACTGGGCCAACTAGAGGAGCAGTGACATTGCTTAACTCTGATGAAGTCAATCTGCACTGGCTGGCTTAGGACTCTTGTTTGAAGTGTTTCATAGCTGGAGGCAAAGCAGAAGTCCCTGCAGCCTTTATATAAAGGGATAGTTGCTTTGCATGGATAGCTCTTGCTGGTAGCAAATCCTCACTATATTATATTTTAGGGCTATTTCAGTTGGCTCTGATACAGATAGTCTGGACGGTTCAACAAGCTGATTTCCCAAGGCTTGTACGTATGCCTTGCACTATTGCTTATTAGCCTACAATTCACAAAGTTGCTATGGTTTCTGGACTTTTCCTCTGCCGCCAGCCTTCTGTTCACTGGGGCACTTGGATCTGTTCTAAGTTCCCTTTTCTCTTCTCCCTTTATTACCGTCTTCCTAATTCCCCACCACCCTCTTTCAGGAAAACCTGCTGCCATCTAGAAGAGACCTGTCCTAAGCTGCTGCCACCACATGTCCATGTTACACACTGTAAATGTGCTTCACAATACTCACTAAAAACGCGGCACATCTGACATGTCAAGTTTTGCATTCTTCCTTTGCATGTAACACAGTGCCAGACGATATACAGCCCCTACCCTGTTACTTAAACAAATACAGAGGGGATATATATATATACACACATTAAATTGTACTGCTCTAGTTAAAACAGATGATTAGCCAAGCCTAAAAGCTAAGTGTTGCTGTTAGGTTTTGTACTGCTGCTGTTGCTGCAGTGCTGTATTTTCTGGATATAAAGTTCCATACATGAAATAGTCACAATCCAGTGTTCTGAAATAAACAAACTCTGTTCCTAACCTGCGGTCTTGTGTCTCCATCTGAGATCTGAGCATCCTGTTTTTTTCTCTCCTCAACAACCGATGTCCTTTCAGAGCAGAGTTGGCATCTATCCTTGAAATCCACAGGTCTACCTCGCCTCATCCAAGGTACTCTCCTATGTCCTGCCAGACCAGTTTACAGGCTGTTTACCCCCTACCCCCTCAGTTTACCTTGGGAAGGATACAATGTTACAATACTGTGATGCAAAATTCTCTCCCAAAGGACAAAGGTAGACAAGATAGCACCCATGCGTTGAAGCTAGTCAGTGCCATGCTTTAACAGGCTCTCTGTTGAGGATGAGTATTTACAGACCCTGCTGCCTAGGGAATGAAACACTGGGAATGAAATCTGTGTTTTCCATGTGCTAGCACAAACCACTGCGACTAACATACTGGACCAGGCTGCCTCTTTCAAATAGACAAGGTAGAGTGACAACTCAAAAAGCTCAGAACTGCTGCTTCACAGGCCCCAACCTAGACTCTAAACGTGGCACTTCTGACTCTATTACCAGGACATATCTTTTTTAAGAATTGACAAGGGGGAATCCACTAAGAGCTATGAACAGCTCACAGTCTGATACAGATTCCTCTAGTGCTGCAAGACCTCCACCCTGCATAAGGAAAAAACAGAAAGATCTGGTGTAAGGTTACTTACTGATTCTTGCATGGGGTGACTGAGGGGTTTGTCAAGAGCTGCCATACTGCTCGGCATGTCTGGAGGGTGAGACAGCTGTGGCCCGTGCATGAAGTCATTCATAGAAGTTCCACCAGGATTCCCATGAGGGAAATCAAAATTGCCATGACCTTGGTAACTGTTGCCTAAAAAAAGCCAAAAAAGAGTTACCGAGAAAGAGACTCTTAGCTTTCTCACACTGCTCCCTCAACAGTGCAATTCACACTGCACAGCGCTGCAATGCAGTGATTTGGACTCTTACTGTGGAATTTTGTTCTGTGTACTAGAGCAAAGTAGAGGAAGAGAAACAAATACCAAACCACTCTCTTATATGTCGTCTTCCACAGAAAGGTAACCATTCACCGATTGATACCACATAGTTCCTATTCTATGAATAAGGGGAAACTGGAGCAGCTCAGATACATTCATGTAGTAACTTGGCAAATGCTGGTATTTTAAATGGCAACCACTTCAACTTAGCACATTCATTTAAGAGAGGAGAAAAACAATACACAGTAGCGAAGACATAAAATCCTGGAGGATATTCCACTTCTGGGGACATGGGTTCAAATTTGACTGATGTCCTACATCCAAAAGTGTGTGGTGGTCTTTGTTCCTAAAGATTATTGTCTAACTAGGATTACACGCTTGTTGCAGTTCATCAGGAGGCTTATTGGCAGAACTGCGTAAGGAAGTTACTGCAGTGCGTGCTCACAGTTGGCATCTATTTTACTGCCCCCTCTTTAGAGTAAACATATAGCTTCCTTTAAGATTAATACAGAAGAGGCCTCAATGCTTTGGCTCAAGCCTGTGCTATCATGTTCCTTGTTTTCACAAAACCTAATAAAATTCACTCAGTGATTTGGAAAATAGAACATTAATGATCTACTTTTTAAGGCATTTATTCTTTTAATTTGCAGTGTTACAATCTGACTGCGGCCAACATTTTAAAACACGAAGTGCACATTCTTAATGGAAGATTAATGAATTTCCAAAACTAAATTGAGGTTGGTTTGAGTCTGAGTTCCTTGAAGCACAAAAGTTCCAGGGGTTTTCAAAATAAATGTTTTGGTTTTAGCCCTCACTCACCTAGTTTTAAATGAAGTTAGAGCTGGTGAGGGATGGGAGATTGCCATATCTAGAGAATAAAATCCTCTCTTTGTCTGCAGATAAGGTACTATATGGCCAGCACCAGTGTGTTTGGCTCCATTCCATTCCAGCCACTGTGCTCCAACTCTCTTCCGAACTGATCCTCTATAGGTGTACAGATAAGTTCACCCTCCATATCCTTTTCTATCCTGGGTGTCTCTGATAAGATTTCCAACTGGGCTGCCAACTCTAGTGGTTTACTTGATATGAACAGTGGAAACTGAACTAAAGCTACCAAGCAATCACATAAGCCAGGAATGGGATCATATTGAGCTCTGAAATAATACAACGGCTTTGGAGCTTGTTTGCAGTTTGTCAGCTGACGTAGAGCAGCTTTAAATGTTCAAGTCAAGCAGGTAGTTTGACAAACTGAAGTATCTGCATCATTTGCTTTTCAGCACAGCTCATTTTAAGCAGAAGTTTAATCTCAGAGGAATAGAAGTCATTAGCCATGTAAGAGTATTTCTCAAAGAAGTTGGGACTTTGATCTATCATGTAAATGCTGTAGAGCCTTTCTAATTCTCACTTTGCTAATCTGCAAACTGGATAAGTCTCATAGTACATAGCTGGTCTCACCCCATTTCTCAGGAAAGATTTAGTAGCAGGGAGCTGGAATGAGGTCTCGTATTATTGACATACTGCAGTGTGTTTACTGCTATACTGGAAAATATTGCAATAAATAAATAAAACTAAGCTACGAACATCAAAGTAGTGCTATTACTACTACTTTGTCCTTCTACAGTGCCTTTCATCACAGGACATTAAATGCTTTTAAGCACTCAGTCTCACTGTCCGGCTATGTGTAATGAGAGGAAAAGAGGTAATTTGCCCCAGGTGTCTCAGTCAGTGGGAAGAGCAGGGAGCAAAGCCCAAATTAAGTGACTCCTGGTCTCATGCTCTAACTACGCTTCCTCCCTATTGACTGAGTGAAACACACTTTGTGATGGAGTACCCATGATATTGTTATAGTGTTTGTTCCCCTACTTGATAATTCAAAAAGCTGGATAATCTGTTGCTGGTCTCCCAATCATTGTAATGACATTTTCTGAAACTACTGAGAGTTGTACTGAGAGTCATATCATACCACTGCAAAGATAATTGTTTCTAGTTTTACAACAATATCATGAGAATTTGAGCTACAACCTGCCCCTATAATCTAGTCATTCTCAATATACCAGGTCCTTGAACAGACACCTCCACCACCTGCATTTAGTCCAGTGTTTCCCAACCTAGGGGCATGTGGTGGTGGAGAAATTTGCATGACTCTAAATCTGACTTCCTAATGCAAAAACACTCCTGTGCTTCTCAGCAAAGCGGTGTATGGTTCTTTAAAGTTGCCCACCTTCTGTCCCTACACCCACAGAGGCCATTAATGAAGCTGGCCAATGGAGAAGCTTACATGTACAGGACTGCAGGCTCAGACGGCAGCCCACTGGCCCAAGCTTCTCCATGGTTATCACCCTCAGCAGTATGTGGCCTTCTGTAGAGCGGGAACAGGGAAAGGAAGTCACCAAAGGGAGGGATGGAGGAAATGGACAGAAAGCAAGATGAAGGGAACTGTGTTGGGGCATGACAAAAGCAGACATGGGAGCAGCCGCTGCTCATCCATTGTAGGGGGGATAGAGGTGCTTTATCATAAAATGGGTGAGAATAATTGATTTACTTCATTACAGATTTTTCCCTAAATAAATTCTAAGTGAAAGGGCTGCGTTAGTGTTTCATATCAGTAGCTGTATATTTTCTTACTTGCTCAAACAATCTTCCATGCAAGGGCATTCATAGATTACACTGCTACACATGTGGATCACAAAAACTGACTGAATCGCTCAACAATTTTTGGGATATGTTTTCTATACTCTTGAAATAATAAAACCAACCTTGGTTACCATACTCAGTGGAGTTATTGCCCCCTGGTGGAGGTGGAAGGGATGGGTAAGGTGATGGGCCGGGACCCAAAGCTGCAATCATCTCCATCACATTTGGCATGATCATCTGGCTGGGACTCATGGTTTTAAATCTCTTGGAAGGAATGCCATCTGGATCATCTTTGATGTGAATATCTGACTTTATAGGGACTGGCCTCCAACTGCACGTTGGGTCGATTGTAACTTCTTCAAACTCAGAGCTATAAGACAGAAACAACTTACAATATCACTGGCTCTTGCTTTGCTATCAGTTCTTCTGAACTTCCCACGAAAAGCTGCATTGTAACTTGTGAATTCCATTTGCCCCAAAGACAATACAATCTCAAAGTGTTTCCTTTGCAAAGAATGTGTAGGCAGCACTCTTAAAAGGTGATAGTTTCAGAGTCTTGAAAAATGAACTCTTCCCTTTGTCCACAAGTGGGTACAGTAGGACTGCAGCATTGCAAACATCTCTGTATGGTCCTGCCTAAAGTGCCACCAACCTGAGTTAGACAGGTCGCTTCTAGAAGCGAGAAAATAGTTCATTCCCCATTCCATCTTTTGCCTCCTGATGAGTCTGCCATCAAGAGTGCCAATTAGGAGCCAGGTCCATTAGCAACCAGACTGAGACCAAGTCACTTCACCTAAGTTACCAAAGAACCATCAGATTTATAATGAATTTCACTTACTACTAACCTGCCCTGCAATTGAACAGGTGACAAGCTTCATACTCAGTAACCCAAGCTATTCAGTCTCCCCCTTGCAAGTTACAGATCTAATACCTTTAAAGAGCCCTAATCATTCTGGGGAAAATCTTTTTAACCCAAGCAGAGAACTGATGCAGCTGGTCAGAACCAAAACCGGAAATAAAGAGAGTTCACTTACTTTTGTATAGCGTTCAGAATACCCCACATATACTGGTCGACTTCCAAGCCCTCCAGTAGAGCAGTTTTACTAGAAAGGAAGAAGCCTAAATTGTAATAGCTGCAAGTATGTATACAGAGAGGAAGGATGGTTTGGGGGTAAGTCACTAGAATGAGACCTGTTCAGTTCCTGGATGTGCCACACACTTTCTTCAGGATCTTGGATTTTGTGACTAGCCTATCCCCAGGTTAAAACATTATAAGGAAGAGTGTATTACTTTTTCAAGCTCAGTATAGATTTCCTCCCCCACTCTACAGTAGATTGATTCCCACCTCTAAAACGTGACCTTGCCTATATTTTCCCAGTGGGTGTACTGAATGTGAGCACTTTAATATCTGCTCATCTGAAGTTTAGTCATTTGTGAATTACAACATAGAAGAACATAAATGCAATCTCAGAACAGACCAGAAGTCCTTCTACTCTGGAATCTTGTCTCTGATTGTGGCTTACACTTGATGATCCAGAGGAAGGCAATGAACCCACAGTTCAATTGTCCAGTGCCACCACTGCTTGGTAGAGAGTTTCTTCCTGAATTTACCTGGAGTTCATGCTGTGATGCATAAGGAATGACAGCCTTAGTAACTATTATCCTAGCTGAAATAAACCGGTAGGTACCAATCTTATCAATATAAAGGTTCAAACCTCTTTTTAATCCCGCACAACTCCTTGCCTCATTAATATCCACAGGTTATGAATTGCAGGGGAAAGTATTTTCTTTCATTCATTTTAATTTTGTCGCCTTTTAAATATCATGGAGTGTCCCCATATTCTTATAACATAGAACAAGATAAACCAAACATTCTTAGTGGCCTTCTCCATTCTTTTCAACAATTTTTAACATCTCTATCCTATCGCCTCTTATTGTTTGTTTTGGAAGATAACTTGGGACAAATTCTATGCAACTTGCATTTGACATAATGTTTCACTTACTTGCATACAGGACACCTCCAAGTTCCTCGTTCACAGTTCAGTTGCAAGTAAGATTCCAGATCAAAGCACTGCAAGTTAGATACACACACACACAGACACAAACAGACCATATTAACTGAGCCAACTGAGCAAAAATAAAACTGCAGACAGTGGAGAAACAAGACTGCAAGCACTGAGACATAAATCTACAGAAGTAAGAAGGTGGCTTACGGGAAATATCCTTTTCCCTGCTGCATAAAGACACATGAGACTTTCCAACATTTCCCCCCTTGGTAAAAAAATGAAGACAAAGAAGGGGGATCGTTTTCTTGGATAGTGATTGGTAAGAGGAATTGTTCAAAACAAGCAGATGCATTGTGTTTATTTATTTACATTTACAAAATGCTAAAGCCAAGTGCTGACCATATGTTCTAGGCACCCTTGATATGGCTTAAAAATACATCACAAATAATTCCTTGAGTGCAGCAGTACAATTCAAGAGGACCCACAACCAATAAAACTGGGTAACTTAAAAACTCAATCCCCAACTGATTCCTCCAATAATTCCTCAGCCCATTTTCAAATGCCTGGAAATAAAGGTGAGCCAAGCCACCAGAGACTGGACACAAAGCATTTTGGGCCAAATCTGGAAGGCCTTACTTTTTTAGTTCATGTTCTTACTTAAGTCTTTACTCTGTCAATGAAGTCAGTAACAGCTCGCCTGTTTGCCTACGTAAGGACTCAGGCGCTGTTCCTACAAATACATACATGAGTAGTTCCACTGAATTCAATGGGATTACTGACATGTGTAAGTGTTTCAGGACTGGAGTCTCAGTAGCAACTTGAGGATCTGGCCAATGATGGTATTATTCACGATTACAAGTGAAATGTTATGTGACATTTCTTATTTCATTCATCACACTCCATGTGATTTTGCAATAGGATAAGAGGAATTAAAGCTTTCATCATCAATTGAACAACTTAGTATTTATTTAAAAAACAGTCATACCCTTTGGTTGAAATTAGACAAATTTAAAATAAGATCTCGAACCACAAAATCCATATGATAAACAGAGAAATTCATCACATCTCCTACCCACAAAAAACCATTCAAAAGACATTGTAATGCACAGCATAGGGAAAAATATCAGGACACTGAAATGCACTCACTTGTACATGCTTGCAATCATGGCCTCTCGCTGGGAGCTGGATTCGCCGGAATGTGATTGGACATTTCAGAGACACTTTAATAGCTGTCTGCTCCACTCCATCCTCACCATTTAGTGTTGCATTGCCAGAGGAGGCTGCCACACTGCTGAAGTTCCTCTTGACTGTTTAGGAAGATGGTATATGTATGTGAAAGAAACCACCCATGCACTATGGTTTCTAATGTAACTGCTTGAAGTCTGGCTGTGCAAATATACCTTTACCCCGATATAACACGAATTCGAATATAACGTGGTAAAGCAGCGCTCCGGGCGGGGCGGGGCTGCGCGCTCCAGCGGATCAAAGCAAGTTCAATATAACGCGGTTTCACCTATAACGCGGTAAGATTTTTTGGCTCCCGAGGACAGCGTTATATCAGGGTAGAGGTGTAGCGCCTTCCTCTGATCTGATAAACTGCTCTCATGAGATGGCATAGAATCCTATATACTTAAGCCAGGTATTGTGTGCACAACTGAATATAAGCATAGGTATGATAAAAATCAAATTTAGAGAAACCATCACATACTGAAAAGTTATAGGGCTGGGCACTCAGGCCCAGTTTGTCCAATTTGTGTTGCAAAGGGGATGGACAGCAGCCCTAAATGGACAGCTAGGGATTCCCCCAGCTTGGGAGGATCTCTGAGTGATGAAAAGCTGACATGGTTAGGGATTCCCCCAGCCTGACAGTTCTTGGGTCGTGTAAAGCTGACATCACTGGTTGCTATGCCCTGTTTCTCACTCCAGAATCGGAGTATGCCAGGGAGGTAGCCCAACAGCATGATGCTCTGGCAAGCCCAGGCCCGAGTTATTAAAAGTTTCAATAGGTGAATAAAATATTATAACTGATTATAAGGCACTCTGGATAGTCTTGGTTAATACAATTAATACAGTCATTGTTTGCAGTGTTGTTGTAGCTGGGCAGATCCCGGGATATTAGAAAGACAAGGTGGGTGAGATAATATCCTTTATTGGACCAACTTCTGTTCGTGAGAGAGACAAGCTTTCGAGCTTACACAGAGCTCTCCTGAAGCTGGGAGCATGCGGCAGGGAGAGAGGAAGCTGCTGGACTGTAATCCTGTTCTACGTTTTCTTACAGAATACAACTTTGTTCCTGGTGGTTTGTCTGAGTGGGTCTGGCCTGAGTTGAATACACACTGGCACACAAAGCAGAGTACACTGAGGAACCTCAGGCCCTGGCCCCCAAAGCTGTGTAAAAAGCCACAAGGCAGACTTATCCTGCCTTTAACAACCCCACCCTGGCATGGTGGACAGGAGGGGGTTACATTTTATTTGGCTGAAGAAGAGCTCTGTGTAGATCGAAAGCTTGACTCTCTCACCAATAGAAGCTGGTACAATAAAAGATAATCCCTTATCCACCTTGTCTCTAATACATTCTCTCTCACACACACAAAACTCACTCTTAGTGATACAATGTTCTGCTGGGAGAAGACGTTTCTTTAGCAAGCCTTGAAGCACAGAACGAACTGATGGCCGGTGCACTAACTGCAACACGAACAAGTGTGACTGAAAAAAAAAATCACTGAGTTACTAACAGAACCACGCATGTTACGTTGTTATAGACCACTGGGTGGCGCAGAGTTCTGCCCTTGGATGGCACGTGTGCAGCTCTGCACTGATTCCAATGGGAACCCTGCAAATACACGCTAGAGTGGATTTTGCTCATCTGCGTTAACACACTCCCTTTAAGGACAGTCTGAAGTTGCAGTCTAGGATTGAATAACACCTATCACCTGGCTACGTTGCTGTTAAGAAAAGGTAACATTTGCTGCATCATTTTCCCCTTGACAGTCAAAAACGTGATGCAATAATCTGTTATTTATGGTGTTTGTCACAGTGACCTCTGGATTTTCTACCCCTGCCCTATTGCCCACTTGCCCTGCACTCAGAATAGCTAGGAGGGTTGCTGAGATGACCTCTCCTCCTAGCCATCAGATAAGTGATCCACCACTACACTGTGGGGCACAAGACAAGGAATGTGAGATTGTGCAAGGAAGAAGAAGTCTGAAGTAAAACAATGGGCTTAAGCTTGAGGTCTCTCTTCAAATTGTCTCAGCTTTCCCAGGGTCAGAGTCTGTCCCCAGACTCTCTGCCCTTGCCAATGGCAATGAAATGGCAGAAAGCCCAGACTATGAAGTGTGCAGCCCCTCTCCATTAAAAGTACAATCTATGCTAATTGTAATTGAGAGCTATCAGTGGGAGGCAAGTTGCATGGCTCAGTGGATTGAGTAATGGGATATGAGCCTTTCACCTTTATCTCACTGGTTTAAACCCAGCCCAGAGTCACGGTGGCAAACAAATGGCAATTTGATGCTCTGTGTGAAGTTAAGATTTTGGCCTCAGTCCAATTCCCGGTGGACAAGTGTCCACAGCAAGAAAACCATCCACCGTCACATTACCTGCCTTGCTATCAGGACTGTTAGCCAGGCAAGTACTGAATGGGCACAGAGAGCTGATGCACTCTCCCCTTCAGAGGTGGGTCCTTCTAGACATATTGGCAAGGTAGCTGCTCTGCCCATGCTGCCCCAGTTCTACTGCAAATTATGACATGATCTTTAGCACTCTCTCTCTGCCCCTGTCCTGTCACCAGCGCTACAATCAGTGACACCTCCCTTCCCCCACAATGAAAATTTAAAAAAAAGTAAAAGTGAAAGAGGTAAGAACTGCTGGCCTAAGTGAACATTTCCAAACAGTTCTTTCCTGTGCCGCAGACCTTTAGTCAGCAGCAAGCTCCATGTACTTACACAACAACATGCTGTTACTGTAATTTGAATTGTGTTTCTTCCCGGCTGACAGACGTGCTTTAGGTGCAGAGGTTTATGAGATGTCTTGTTGTCGCCACGTTCAATGGTAAGAGGGGTTGCATTAACGCTGACCTGGACCGATGCTGGCCAGTTTGTGTTCATTTGTCTGTCTTCATGGTGGTAGCACTTGAACTGCAGCTCCAAGTCAGACCTGTACCGCAAGGCACAAACCTGGCTTAAACTCTGTTTTCATATGACTAAAGGATTTTTTTGGGGATGCTAGAAATTCTATGCCATCCCACCCCCTTCACTTTAACTCTGCTTTGCTCAACTCTGATTTTTTTTCTGGAAATGTCTCACAAATAATAAATGCATAACACATATCCTCCCCATAAAAGCCATTAACAGAAACAACACAGGATGGCTCATGCATCTGAAATTTGAGAGAATAATAATAATAATACTTTACACTTATACATGACTTTTCACGTGGAGATCTCAAAGTGCTTTACAAAGGTGGGTTGTAAGTCGGTGGAATGACTCAGCAGAAAGGAAAAAGTTGAAGTCAGGTAGGTCTTTCCTTAAGCGTTAGTGTTTATAACAAGAAAATAAAGCAAGTAACACATTCAGAGAGTAAGCAGAACTCACCCAGCCTGGGGATCATCTCAGTAGCAGAATCCCTGCCTACCTACCTAAAAACATATGTCCCACTCTATCTCCAAAGCAGCCACTCTTGATCTACCATAATGATAAATAATACCAAACTGAGCTGAAGTTAACACTTGAGTAACTGAGGGTATGTCTAGACTACAGCCACTACAGTGACACAGCTACACTTCTGCAATAGCGTCATAGTGTAGACCAGTCCCACACTGATGGAATTATTTTTGTAATCCATCTCTCTGATTTTTCATCAACCTAGCTGCATCTACTGTGGGGGTTAGGTCAACCTAACCATGTCGCACAGAGCACAAAATTTTTCACAGCCCTGAGTGATGTCTTTAGGTCAACCTAAATCTTAGGTGTAGACCAGGCCTCAGTAGATAGTAGCGCACTTGCACCTCATCACATCGGTTTTAACCTCATTTTACAAATGAGTAAACTGAAATACAGAGAGGTTAAACTTGGACTGGAAAGTTAAACTGAAATTTTGGGGTTTTGTCCTTCACTGTTAATTTATTATGAACAAAGATTGCCACAAAGTCCATTGATGACCATCTTTTACATAAGAAAAATCAGGTGCTCATTTCTTTCTCTTTGCTGGACTCTCCTGTAAGACCTTTGAAGGACATGAATAGTGATGTCATAGGAGACCATAATCTGAGATGCTACTTGCTCTCTCCCCCACCCCCAGCAGGTGGGAAGAGGATGCAATTTGTTAGAGTCTAAGAATGGAGGCCCTGTGCTGAGACTTTCTTAAAATCTGATAATTTTTTTAAAAAAAGCAATGGGCAGCTTCGTGTTTAGACTGCTTTTACTGAAGGCTCAGATATTTGTACTCAGTTTTTTCCCTGTAAAGGTCATGTTTATGTCCTATACTGGTGGTGTGGCCATGCTCAGAAATTCAGGACCTTTAGGTTAGAATCATAATCTCTATTTTTGGGGAAGGAAAGCAACTCAGGTGAAGATCTCAAGTGACATCGCTATTCAGGGCCTACAGAAATCTAGTTAGCACAAAAAATAAAAAGAGGGAAGCAGGGACCCGATATCTCTAACCTAAAACCAAGTAGATTAAAAAAAATAGGGAAAGTCTTTATACATTACGCAGAAGCTGTAAAGGACAAAACTGCCTCCCTGACCCCTCTTAAAAAGTTTGTCCAGGGTCACATAGGGAGGAATGGAAATGTGGAGAATCTCGTGTTCTAGCCAGGCTGCTCCACAATGATAGATAATACATAAATTGTGATGAGCAAAGACTGATCCATTTTTAAGGCAAAATTCTCCTGGTTGATTTCCTCTCCATTCTTTTGCTTTGTAAGAGCATGGAGTTCCCAGTAGGGAGAAGAATATTTGCGTCGCCATCAGATGTGTGACTATCAGAGGGATATTTTACTCAATATTTTAACTAGCATAAAAACCTTCACAGCTGGCCCCATTCCATCATTCTCTATTAAAATCTAAAGGTTTGGTCTAGAATTCACGTGACTAATACATGCATTGGAATCCACACAGTCCAAGGTAAACTTCCTATTTACTTCATTATAATTTCAACGTGCAAAATCTCTTAATGCCATCTAATATCTATTCTCTTTTAGCCGAGCTATTGTACAACAAATGCTAACACAACTGATGCTCCACACACAGCTGACAGGGTTAGAGACACAGTCTGGGCATTTTCCATGTGGGTGTAACTGTGTGATCAAGCAGAGAAAAATGAATGAGATAAGGATGACAGACACAAGACTCAGTTTTCTGAGTGTTCAGGCTGCCCCTGGCCTCCCATCACTAACAAGTTTTTCAAGGTGGCAAACCTGAGCACAAATTACCGATGAGTCTTCATTAAAATGAATTTAAACACAAGTCCAAGTCAGGGTGCTAAAGCAGTTTTTTGTTGTTGTTTTTTAAAGAAAGATCAGGTATTAAGAAACAGCCTCATGCCTCAGTGCAGCTCTATAAATCTACAGAACTAGCCTGCACAATCCCCAACAGTGATTACTTATTAATAAGAACCAGCAAATAACTGCCAAAACTCCCTCTTGCTGTGAGTACTCCAGGATAATGAAATGCAAGTAAGCAATAACTGACCTCAAAGTTAGGCATTAATTATTGGATGTAGCCTATTTTAGATCTCTCACATTTCTAATTCCTAGGCTTGAGACTACCAACATCATGCAGGCAAATAAGTATCTATATTCTAGGTCAAATCTCAACCAGGAGTCGTGATGCCCAGGAGGTTACAACCACCCACCCTTCCCACATTACAAAATGGGTGGGTGATTGCAATGGGTCCCAGTATGGAAAATGTTGAGGTCATAACATTATTAATCCAATGATTCACCTAGCTTGAAGGATGACTTAGAGAAACTGGAAGAAGGGGAATTTTGCGCACACTGGAAAGTGTGTTGACGAGAAGAGGTTTCATTTGCTCAGCTATTTCATGTGTTACAAAGGAAAGCTCCATACAATAAGACAAGATAATGAGAAACTAAATTCTCCAAGGCACACAAGCACAGATTCAAAACAAGTCCATCCTACAGTATTTGGAAATGAAAGCAAATCAAGGCTTTGGTTTTGATTTGATTTAATGCCATTTCATTCCTTGTCCATATATCAAAGCCAGTACAGAATCTGGAATCATTTTATGCAAGTTTGAATTACAGAGCTGCAAAATATAATCCAGAGGGACTATTCGCTCTCTCTGTCTCTGATGAAAAGTAATATTTACTGTAGGTGAAAGAGCTATATTGTGTAGGGAAAGCTGCACTTCAGCCGCTTGGCTCGTTTCTGTTCTGGGTAAGTTAAAACAGCTCTCTAAAATCAACCTTCTATCTGAAATTTGGGCCTTATCCTGAGAGGGGCTTAGCACCTATAACTGCCACTGAATTTACCATCTCTCTGAATCAGGTCCTTAACTTGCCTACAATTTTTATTTTCGGATACCTTTGCACCTCTGAGTTCCAGCTGAAAATAGAAGCAACCTTGTCAAGGTATTGCGAGAAAACTTATCACAGATTGTCCAGACCAACTACCAACACTGTAACAAAAGATCACCTGTGGATGATGCAAGGATGCCTAGTTCAGAAATATTCCATGAATGATCCTTGCATGCTGGTCTCAGCTACGCATGCTCCTAGCACTTTTACCAGAAAGAGCAGAAGCAAGTCAAAAGGTACATTTAAATAATTATTTTCCAGACATTGCCCTTTGCCCCATTCACATTGATTCCATCAGGTTTGCTTGGAAGAATGGCATATAACTTGGCACCAGCCAAAGGGTTGGGAGCTGAATCAGGAAGCATATTATTGCACTTTACTCTCTGAAAGTTGAGGGTTGTTCACATATATATGAGCTAAAGGGATTTTTTTTCTATCCAGACCGTATTTACTAATATTGAAATCCATGACTGACTCAAACGAAGTTCATCTGCCCCACCATTTTGCTTTCAGTCACGCAAGGTTGCCTCACAACACTGCTCAAACCTACCTCCACATCAGCGTCTGATGGACGGTTGGCCGCAGGTGAAAGACATGGTTACTGACCGCCAGGTTGTGCTCCAGCCGAAAGGGCTCCAACACCACCCCATCTCTCACAGGGAATGTCAGACGCAGCTCATCATTGTGGTTGGCTGGGATCGAAGAGGGAGAGAAAGTGTGAACTTTCCCTTTAGCATCTGCAGTGCAATAACAATGTGTATATTTATACAGAATAATGACAAATGATACAGTGATCTATTGCTGGGGTTAACCTAGTAGAGTCACATATAGAAAAGAAAATGACAAATAATTGTATAAGTGGATTTCGCGCAGGTGATAGGGCACAGACTGACAGCTCTGGAGACTGATGTTTTCTACTTATATCCACAGATAAGGTTTATGAAAGGAGCAGCAAAAGTGCCTCTCACTACAGTCATGCCTTACACCTGATGTGGGGGGACCATTTTTCATTGTGAGAGATTAGTTCAGTTACCATTCAATCACTATGCTGAGACTGCCAATTAGTGCCAGTTGTGGTGGTGCGGTGCTAGTTGTTTTTCTGTGATGTGGCTATTTTCCCCATAGAAATTGGAATTGAGATTGCCAAACTCATTTCAAGTGTGCCAGTAGATAGTAATGACTCTCGGTTCTAATGGTGATCTACAGATGGAAGGCTCTGGTATTTACTAGTTCCACAAGCAATTCAGTCTCCCATCATGAAGAGCTTTGCTGCTTGTTATGCACAATTTATGATGGCCAACTATTTTCAGCAGATATGTTCTGGCTGAAAAAACAGGTTTGTTTGAAGTGATTCTGAAGCAGGAAGACCTGGAGTATGAAAAGGTTACCACTGTCCATTGTAATTACTGGATTTAAGATTGGGTTTCTTCTTTACTCATCAGAAACAGAAGCTGCTGTTCAACTCTTATCTAAAATACTCTCCTCCCTCTGAGGCTGTTGAAGCTAAAACAGTACCAACAACCTTAATCTTTCAACTCTCCATGAACCGCAAAATGTTGGTTGTAAAGAGCTAATACAACAGAGGTCTTTCTATAGAGAACATATTGCTTCTTCCAGTGCCTAACTTTTGATTATTCTTTAGTCACTTTTAGACTGTAGACAAATTGTACAAGTACACAGCCACTGAGATGGTGTTATTCCTGACTCACTCTCAGCCAAACGTAGCTGTGAGGTTGAGTGGCTTTGAAAGGAGTATACATTATTTTTTTTGGCACTCTATTGAATATTTTTAAGGGGTCTGCATGGACATAATAGGAGTACCATTATAAATATTCATCCTTTAAGCTATTCTTCAGTAGTATTCAATAGCTTTGCCCTTGACCAAAACACACTACATTACTATTGATGGAGATTCTATGCAATAAACAAACCCAACAACATGAAACAGCTGAAAATTAAGAGTTTCATTCTGAGAAATCAACTACAGGAATATTTAAGGGGAAAAGTCCTTAAAAGTTTAACTTTGGAGAGAGTTTTCCGTCTGGCATTTTCCAGTACTTTGTTTGGAAACAAATATTCTTCTTTCCTGTTTCCTTCCTCTCTGAGTAGCTTGCATAATGTGGTTGGTCGATGCCATATATCAACTGGCAATCAACATTTCTCTCCATGTCAAAAAATAGCAATCAAGATGCTATTTTTAAAGCATCACTTCTGGGTTGCGTGATATGCATGGCAGAGGAAGGAGAGACAGTAAAAGGCTGAGGGGCCGGCTCCATTTGCTACTCACTTGGAGGTGGCGGTAAAGCATTGATATTTGGCTTAATGTCAGGTGGGAATGGTGGTTTGACATCCTGGTTAGGTGACAGGTATGGTGGAATACTGCTCCCTGGAGTCATGGGTGGTGTGGGGTTTCCTGGAACTGGTGAGTGAGGGTAATTTGCCACAGGTACAGGCCTTGATGGCTAGAAAATAAATAATACCAAGTTGTTACTGAATTTTGAAAAAAAAAAAAAAAGACCTAATCATATGTACTGCTATTAAACACTGAATCTATATCTAGGTACTGTGGCTTGGGCCTGGCACTATTTAAAACGTATTGAGTAGGAGAGCTAAAACCTAAAACCTTAATTACTTTTTTCTTTGCATTTACTTCTCACTTTTAAAACATACAGTAGTCTAAATTTGAGGCAAGAAGTTGCAAGCCCCAGAAACTGCAGATGCTCCACTTTTTCATTCTTCCCTGCCTCTTTATCCAGCTTTCCACCTTTGATCTCTCCTATTTTTGCCCTAATTTTCTTACTCTTCTCCTCTCCTCTTGATGTAGCAGTAAATATTATAGCACCTCATCTTTGGCTGAGAGCATTTTATCTTTGGTCACTGAGCAGTCACAGGTTGAAAGGCACTACAGACTATACCCATCCCTGTCTCCGCTGAGACCAAACTTCCTCACAGTTCTCAATTCATCAAGGCTTTAGTCTCCACAATCTTCAAACTCCCAAAGACCAGGTCATCTATATTGCAAATCAGAGCCTTGCCCCTTAGCTGGGAGAACTGTCTTTCTCCATGAGCTCATCTCATCTATTTATCCTGTCACCACATCAATCTATATTTCCATGAACAACATGCAACGCATTTCGATAGACCAAGGGTTCCCCTTTCAAATTTTGTTGTGATTTTCTTCTCAAACCAAACTAAGATTCCCTTGTAAGTAGCCATGGGTCACTCCCAGAAAAGGCTATTTTGTTCCTTAAACCGCTCCGGCTATAAAACAAAACAAAATGTTAAAAACCTAACAAAAATAAACAGGATAAAAAATATACAGAATCTTTCACCTTTAAAACACCCGTGACTGATCTTCAGCTGGCATAAATCATTGTAGCTTCAGTCACTGCAATGGAGCTACACTGATTTACACCGGCTGAGCATATAGCCCCTTGGAGCATTCATCTTGACAATGTGGGACAGAAGCTGCCACAGTATAATCAAAATTGCTTTAGAAAAAGCAATGTTTCTAGGCATCCCACATCAGGCAATGAGTGACCTGACTGCTTGCAAGACTGATGTTCTGTGGGAAATGATTCTTTATTCTTTTCCAATAGTGCTGTCATCTCAAACAGTACCCACCTCCCATGCAAATAATGACAAAACAACCCCATTTCCAGAACCATATGCGTCTTAATGGCCCTAAGATTCTTCTGGCTCAGAATCCAACACCAGAAATGACTTGGCTACTCTAATCTTAAAGCAGATCTGATCTACCAGCTTTACTGCAATTTTCTCAATTAATCCAAGAACCGTGCAGTGTGTGCCCTCATTGTGCTTTGCCACAACTAGAAACGTCAAACCTCAAAGGCAGGCTCAGTTTGGCATTCACTTTTACTTTGGCCCACCATTTAGCTAAAGTGCCCCCAAGTTATGATGTGGCATAGCTTACTGTACTATGGGCTTGATTTTGACTCATTAAAGGCAATGGCATAACTTCCATTGCCTTTAATAGCGTACTATCAGGCCCTATCTGGGGATCCTATGGTATTGCGGGCGTCTCATTTTATCCACTAACAAGGAAGAAAGAACTTTCACCAGCACCAGATGAGATAGTCAATGAACCAAGGTCTCACCTTGTAATACTGTCCCATGTTGACTGTCGGAGGAGGGTACTGTCCCGTGTTTTGCTGGGTAGGCATCCTCTGTCCAGGATAATTGGGAGATGTAAGAGGTCTTGGAGGGTTGGGAGTTGGATACTGACCAGGCTGGGTAGGAAACTGGCTATTTGGTCCATACTGCTGGTTTCCATAATTTGGCTATTTTACAACAGAGATGAAACAAAACAAGAGATAATTTTGAATGGAACTTTGAACTATAGAATTAAAATGAAAATAAAATCAGGCTGATGTCCCCTGTCTCATGAACTCTTTGCCCAACATTTTCAAACCGGGGTGCCTGGAGTTGCGCCTCTGAGGGACAGGGGATTACGGACATTCAAAGGTGCTCAAATCTTATTAATGTTCAGTCTGGGGCACCCAACCATTTGTGCCATTGAAAATCTCCACTCCAGGATGCTCAATTTTAGGCACTTAAATAAATAGACAGATTTTCAGGAGCTGAGCACCTGCATCCATCTATCTAAAGTACTTTTATGGTCCCATAACCACAGTATCTGAGGGCCTTACCACCTCCCGTGTGTAATGTTCACAACACCCCTGGGAGACAGAGAAGGGCTATTAAATCCATGTTTTACAGTTGGGGAACTGAGGCATAGGGATATTAAGTCACAGAGACATAGAGTTTAAGGCCAGAAGGGATGACCCCAGATCATCTAGTCTGACCTCCTGTGTACAACACACCACCCAACAACATACACACTAAATCAAACAACCGAAATGAAACCAAAATTATTACACTCCCCAGGAGATAGACTATTATATGCCACAGGAAGAAAATAGGAGGGACTGAGGAGCATCAGTGCCTGAGGCCACTTCAGTGGCAGGGAAAGGATTAAGTGAGATATATCCAGATAATCCTTGCAAGGACCCACACCCACGTGCTATTAGGATTCTTTGAGGGGGGTCAACAAACACATGAACAAGGGTGATTCAGTGGATATGGTGTACTTGGACTTTCAGAGAGCTTATGACAAGGTTCTTCATCAAAGGCTCTTAAGAAAACTCAGCAGTCATGGGATAAGAGGGGAGGTCTTCTCATGGATCAGTAACTGGTTAAAAGACAGGAAACAAAGGGTAAGAATAAATAGTCAGTTTTCAGAATGGAGAGAGGTAAATAACGAAATCCCCCAGGGATCTGTACTGGGACGAGTGCAGTTCAACATACTCATAAATGATATGGAAAAAGGGGTAAACAGTGAGGTGGCAAAGTTTGCAGCCCATACACAATTACTCAGGATAGTTAAGTCCAAAGCAGACTGCGAAAAATTACAAAGGGTGACTGGGCAACAAATGGCTGATGAAATTCAATGTTGATTAATGCAAAGTAATGCATATCGGAAAACATAATCCCAACTATATATACAAAATGATGGTATCTAAATTAGCCATTGCCGCTCAAGAAAAAGATTGTGGATAGTTCCCTGAAAACATCTGATCACTGTGCAGCAGGAGTCATAAAAGCTAACAGAATGTTAGGAACCATCAGGAAAGGGATAGATAATAAGACAGAAGATATCATAATGCCACTTTATAAATCCAGGGTAGGTCCACAACTTGAATATTGCATGCAGTACTGGACACCCCACCTCAGAAAAGATGCATTAGAAATGGAAAAGATATAGAGAAGGGCAAAGAAAAATGATTAAGGGTGTGGAACAGCTTCCATATGAGGAGAGATTAAAAAGACTGGGACTGCTCAACTTGGAAAAGAGATGACTAAGGGGGGAATAAAAAATTATGAATGATATGGACGAAAAAAAAAAAAAAAGGAAGTGTTGTTTACCCCTTCACATAGCACACGATCAAGCGGGGTGGGGGTGGGGTGTCACCCAATGAAATTAATAGGCAGCAGGTTTAAAACAAACAAAAGGAAGCACTTCTTCACACAACGCACAGTCAACCTGTGGAACTCGTTACCAGGTGATGTTGTGAAGGTCAGAACTGTAACTGGGTTAAAAAAAGAACTAGATAAGTTCATGGAGGATAGATCCATGAATGGCTATTAGCCAAGATGGTCAGGGATGCAACCCCATGCTCTGGGTGTCCCTAAACCTCTGATTGCCAAGTGCTGGGACTAGATGACAGGGGATGGATCACTTGATAATTGCTCTGTTCTGCTCATTCCCTCTGAAACATCTGGCATTGTCCACTCTCAGAAGACAGGATACAAGGCTAGATGGACTATTGGTCTGGCCCAATATGGCCGGTCTAATGTTCTTATGTTGCAAAGAAAGGCTAAAGCCCTCCAAGATCACTGCCAATATGACCTGGGGAAAAATTCTTTCCTGACCCCATGTATCAGTTAGCCTCTGAGCATGTGATTAAAAACCAGCCAGCCAAGCACCCAAGAAAGAGAGAATGCTTCATACCACATCAGAACCTTGGCCCTTTCTGGCCAATGTCCCATCCCCAGCTGTGGTAATCATGGATGAAATAAACTTCCCCAAAACTAGAATACACTGGGGGGTGCGGACGGAATCCTTATAGGTGGCTGGCTGAAATGCTGAAGCAAGTGACTTGCCCAGTGTCACAAAAGAAGTCTGTGGCAGAGTAGATGACTGAACCCAGGCCTCTGAAATCCTAGGCTAGTGCCCTAACTCCTGGGCCTAAGTTCCTTCCTATTTTCCCTGCAGTGATCCAACAGGAAGTCAATGGACACGGTTATTGCTCAGCACCTTTAGGGTGAGGTCAAGAATATTACCGTTCTGATGGCAAATCTATTTATGAATATTGATTCCTTACAACAAAAACAAAATAATTCTGGAGCAAGCTAATCTATAACAACTATCCCCTTTATGAAATTTTCATAAATCAATAAATAAATAGCATCTACTAAACTTACACAGCACCCTTACAACAAGCATATGATTTTATAGCACTGTAAAATGCGTATTACTTGAGAACATTCTTGTATTCACTTGTGACGAAAAACATGCTATTGGAACAGTGAGGAGGGATTCCCAATCTTCAACAAAGGTGTGAAATATGAAATATAACGATGAAAATAATCATCTGAAGAAGTCACACACTATGCATTGTTAGCTCAATTGGAAAGGAGTGATAGCATTTACAGAGTAGAAAAGCCTTGTTAGATAAGCAACTCCTGCAGCAGTAAGTCATTTTGGATGTATAAGGTAACAACAACAATAGAATTCATTTACAGACCAGGAAACGTTGCATTTAGAAAAACTGCAAGAAACTCAATACATATTTGTTAAATGTTGGATATCAGTGTATATTTTCTGTAAACTTATATTGCCACTATTATATTTTGGCCAATAAAATGCTAGTGTAAACTCTACCGACTAAAAGCATAGCATCAATTTAGTATATGTTATGATTCTATCTAAAGTTATAGACTAAGGGCTAGATTTATAAAGGTATATAGGCCCCTAAAGATGAAGATGGGTGACTAGTGGGATTTTCAAAAGCATCTCGGTGCCTAACTCCCATTGATTTCAATAGAACTTCCCTGAAATCATACAGCAAGCCAAAGGCTGTGTGATTTTGATTACTACGTCTTGGGAAATGCTCACATCCTATGCTAATCTTATAAAAACCCTGAGAGACAAATAGATATAGACAGGCAGATAGGAAAAGAACTCAGATAATCTTCACCCCAGACCAAAAGAAAATTACCTAAATGACACCGTGGGAATTTTCAGGGATGCTGAGCTCAACAGGAGTTTTGAGTTTGAGCACCTATGAAAATCAACCAAGCCACAGGAGGTTTGGAAAGCAATGGGATTTTTTAAAGTTTTACACGCTTTTGGTGTTTATGTGAGGTACTGCCCCATATTTCTTTAAAACAATAAAAAATCCAGAGTAAATAAAGCTTATGCTCTGCCCATGACAAATTTATTTTAAGCATTCAGGTTGAAATTCATCTCTGTGCAGAGAGTCTGTATAAGACCTATGAACTTAAGCTCTATTATGAGGGCTTCAAAGTGATGTTCTGAGGGCTCAAGAACTTCACAGGGCTGTGTGGGCTTGGTGGTGGCCATCTTGGCTGACACACCAGGGACTGAACTCTGGGGACCTCCAGAGCTAAAAAGCACAAGCAGCTACAGCTTGAGCTGAAGCTCCATAGGCAGGGCTACTATTTGTGGACTAATCACAGAGGTGACCTACTACACACACTCACCAGGGTGTTATACAGGTTTTCTCCACAGGGTGAATTTCATCCATAGCATAATTGGTATCGTTTGTAAGACAAAAGGAATAAGGGAGTGAGAATACTCACCTCTCCTGGGTACGGTCTCTTCATGCCCTGTATAGGCAAAGACTGGGGGCGTGGGCCTGGGTAAGCTTGCTGTGGCATCCTCTGCCCATGGCTGCTGAAGGGGCTTATCCCAGGGGGCCTCGGCTGGCTCATACCTATAGGCGGCCCACTCATGCTGGAAGGTGTCATTCCGGCTCCCATGCTTGCTGGGTTCATGCTGCCTGGCATAGAAGCAGGGCCGCGAGGGCCAGGTTGATTCATGAACTGGCTGTTGTAAGCCTGAGTCGGACCCATCTGGAAAGAGGAACAAACCTTCAACGGAAGAAAAAAAGAAAAGAAAAGAAAAAAAAAGAATAAAATGCGACATGCATTTAAAATGGGAGTGGGGAGCTGAACATGTTTGTTAGCAGGGGCTGGGATTATGTCGCATTTTCTTTTTATGTTCTGTAACCTTCTGTGAGGCTTTTTTTTTTTTGCATAATAATAATTCAACTGGAATTCTAAAAGCAACAAGAGACAAAAATAATAGTTTAGTAAGAGAAAAACTGCTTTAATATGAGCAAATAAAAATCCACTGACATGATCGGTCATCTTCCTCAAGGTAATGGGCCAGGATCCTCAGCTGGTGTAATTCAGCATCCCTTTATTGACTTCAAAGGAGGTTTGCTTATTTACGCCAGCTGAGGTTCTGCATGCGCCCCACCCTTATCCCCTATGCTTAGAAACACGACACGGAATGGAAGCGGTGAGAAAAGCAGCTGCACAGATCAAACACTCATTCCTTTTTCATTAATAGTTATTACAGGAAATAATTGTGTGTTGAGCTTAGGGTCACCAAAAATGGGTGCTTCAAAGTGCTATTCTCACAGATAATACCTTAAAAGGTGGGTTTTTTTACTGTATTTAGAAAAACTAAACTGAGTTGATCAACATAATTAATTAGAGAAACAGCAAGGCCCTAAAATAAAGCTTTAGAACACTTAGCTGTGTGCTAAAGTTTGGGGGAGGGGAAGTACTAATACATCACATTAGGAGTGGGTATAAAACTTTGCATGCAATTTTTTTTAACTAAGTGATGACCTCTTTGAAGTACAAATGCATTACTAGTGCAGATAACAGGGATTCATAAAGATGATGTATTGGCCACTCTGTGTCATTAATGTATACATACTTATACATGCTACAAGAGATCTCTTGGTCTCCGTCTCTTGTGCACACAGACACACAATACAACTGATACCCGAATAGCTCACATACTAAACAGGGGCACTCACTTCTCTCTAAAGGCAGAAGTCAGAAGGATACGAGTTTGCAAGTTCTACTTTCTTACCGGTCCATACTGGTTCATGTCCTTGTTCTGGGTTTCCTGAAGGGCTGCTACAGTGGCTGTAGCTGTAGCTGTTGCTGTGGCAGCTGCGGCTGCAACTGCAGCTGCGGCGGCAGCTGCAGCCGGCTGAGTGAAATCTGCAGGCGGCCTCGTGTGTGGAGGGATCCCCATTCCCGCAGGAGTATTTGGGCCACCAGGGTAACTACCAGGTGAAGAAAGAAAGGAATATTAAAATGGGCCTAGTGTTTTGGGCCTAGATTTGGGGCCTCAGTCTGATGTCATTTGGAACAGTTCCAAAAGCATGTAAAAGTTTCTACTGAAACAAGCACTCTGACAGGAAGAGAGAAGCAGGGATGTAAATCAGGATACAAGAGCTACTCTGGCATAGAGTGCAGATAACGTCGGCACTTTTCAATGGAGTTAGAAACTCCAGACTTCAGGAGTTTCTAACTAATTTTTAATACTCTGTTCTACCAAGCTGCTGGACTCAGAGGCTGTAAATGAACGTGTGCGCTGATTATCCACAATTTAGGGGCAGCATGGACAGTAGCATCCGTTGTGAGCTTCCTCCACAATGAGCCATCTATGTGCCTCAACAGTGGAATGTATCAGCTTTTCCAGGAGTAGAAAAGTAAATCTGTCCCCACTGAGGTCTCAGCGAAGAGGCCGACAGGGGCCATTTGTGATCGACAGTGACTGACAGCTGTCATTTGGTGCCTCTTCAGAGTTCTGCGTGAAGCAAGTTGACTGTGCCTACACCTGCACACTTCATGTACTAATCACAAAACTACCACAAAATAAATAAATGAATAAATTATCTAAAGTACTCCACACCTGTAATCTTTAAAGGTCTTTAAAAAGGTGGGTCAACATTATGCCCATTTTACAGATGAACTGTACAAAAAGTTTAAGTGAATGGTACAAATTCATGTAGCGAGACAGTGGCAGAGATGAAAACAGAGGCCAGGATAGTGCTGTTCCACTGTACCATGCCGGTACCCTTTTCAGCAGTAACAACAAAGGAACCCAGGGATTGATTAGGACTGGAGACAGAGCTACACTATCACCATAGAAGTGCATTCAGGAAAAGCACTAGGAGCATGGGAAGCGTGCATGTTTACTGCCTGTGTTTACTTTTTAACTGCCCATGCCCTGTGTTTTGTAGATAACCTGGGCTATTAATTTGGCACATTTCACAAGAACTACACATACCCCACAAAAATAAATACATAACTTAAAATTTAAGACCAAAGCCCTGTCCTTCATGCACACGAAGTGCTTTATAAATTCCCGTCGTGGTGCAAACCTTCTGTTATTAGCTTTGCAGGACTGTAGCCTTACTAATATTCGAGCTCATTTCTTTGTACAGACTGATGGAAGTTGTACCATCAATACTTCTCACATAGTAGTCCTACTGAATGTTAATCATTCCTAGGACCTTGGTTTGTGTCTTGTATTTGTGGTAATTAAAACTTTATTTTTGGTGTTTGTCAGGGGTAATTGATTGACCTAATTTCCAGGTATAGTGATGAATTTCCTGCTCTTTGGGTAGCCAATTTTTCAAGCAATGGACCCAGTATGCAATTTAGCTAGGCCTGATGAAATAACCACCAAGACTTGGGGTATTTCTAAGCAGCAGCTGGGAGCTGTGCTTACCAGCGCAAGTAAACATGTGCTAGCCCTGCTCAAGCTAATAGCAGCGTGGCTGCAGTGGCCTGAGTATATACCCAGGAAGTTGGGTGGCTTGCCAGAGCAGCTGCAGCCACGCTGCTATTTTTATTACACTAGCTTAAGCAGAACTAGCCCATGTACGTCTACCCAAGCTGGGAATCACACCATCCAGCTGGTGTGTACACTTACCCTTTAACCAAAGGGAACCTATGGCATATCCAGTAGATTGCTATGCAAAGCTAGAACACCCTGAACTATTCACATCCAATCTCCATCCCATACAGACTCGTCTTACCTCCCGCCAAAGCCTCCACTTCCGGGATAGTTGGGTCTCCCGTACATGCCCTGCTGCATATAAGGTTGAGCGGAGCCTGCCTTGGCTGAAAACTGCTGCTGCTGCCCAGCAAACTGAGGGGAATTAATGCCAGGATTGCTGGTAGTCATCCCAGAAGCCATGGGGTTTCCTGCTGGGTTCATAGGGTTATTGGCATTTGCCATTGGGTTTCCCAGCACCTATGAGGAGAAATATTCAAAATAAGGAGAAAGCCCTTAGAGAGTTTGCTACAGACATTAAAGTACACTCAACTAACCTATATACTCTGTACTCAAATGAGTCCAGGGTTCATTGTGCTATATGTACCTAGGTATGTTAATTTCTTATGAGCTCTCCCTTGCCATTTTCTGATCCCTACCATAAGATTAGTCCCACACTGAAGCTTCTGAAAAGTTACAATAAGGAACAGCAGACATCACATTTTTTTTTTTAATCCTGTGGAGAATCCATCTGATTAAGTGAAGAAGCAAGAAACAACTCTGTTATTTGACAATTTGTTGGTCTCCAAGATGACAATTTGATTTAAAAAAAATATATTTTGCCCCAACATAATGTCTTTGATGTAGGACCTCAAAATGACTTACAAATATTAATTAAGCCTCACAACACTACTATAAAGAAGTATCTCCATTTTACCGATGACCAAACCAAAGCTACGTCTACACTATGAGCTATGGTGTGATTCCCCTGCCCATGTAATGTGTACTTGTGTTAAGTCTCTTCGAGCTATCACAAGTACAAATAGCAGCATAGCTGCAGTGGAGGCACAGCTGAGCCGTGTCTAGTACATATGCACTGGTTTCAGGCAGGTTTCCACTCGGTACGGATCAGCCTGTGCTACTGCCTGTGCTACTGTGGCTACAGTACTATTTACACTCGTGCTAGCTCGATGAGACTAACACAAGATGCTCACAGGAGACGGGAAATCACAACCCTAGCCCATAGGGTGGACATAGCTTAAGGCATAAAGTGGTTCAGTGACTTGACTAATGTCACATACAGTGCGTGGTCCTGGATCCAGCTCCTTTTCAAGTAAAGGGAAGTCTTTCTACTGGCTTCACATCAGCTGGATGGAGATTTGAGTCCTTGACATAGAGAACTGGTTGGGAATTTGCCAGCTGAATGATTTACCAATGGAAAATGGAGTTTTCACAAAACTGAAATTTTCTGTGGCAAAATGTAAATTTCCCTGAAAAATGTCAATTTTCCACTGAAAAAAATTGAAATAGCTCCCCAGCTCAAGAGAAAGCAAAATGGACAAGAACATTCCAGTCAGGCAGCCAGACAGATGTAGCTATGCTGGGGGAGAGGTGGAAAGCCAGGTGCTTGGCCTCTGGCATTTTGTTTGGAAGGTTCTGGTCAATTTCACTTTCTGCCTGCAGGGAAAAAGTGAAATTGACAAGAACTGTCCAGGCTGGCAGCCTGCAAGCTAAAAAATTCCATTTCAGTTCTCCTGAAACAACATTTTGTGGAAGTCCCTTCCTGTGAAAAGTTTCATATTTTGGACTTTTCATCCCAATATGAGATGACATTTTGTTCAAAATTACAAAATTTTTCACGGGAACGGATTTCCATTTTCTGGACAGTTATACTCTGGCACTAACCACTTAGCTCTTGCCTCTGTCCCAACGCTTCAGAACATTGCACCAGGCTAAATGAGAAAAGTTTTCCATTAAGGACTCAAGAAAAATGCTATAATAAATATGTTAGGTCTGATAATCACCCCTCTTCTGTACAGAAAGCAAGTGATGCTTGCAACTGCCACCAATATAATCTGACACTTCCACCCACACAGTTAAATGTGTTACCAGCTCAAAATACGTCAAACCCTAATATGTAGCCATTGTGCTGCCAGAAGAAGAAAATAAGTGGGAAAAAATACAGTTTTATAACAGTCCTTTCCCTTCTTTTCTATATTTTTTTTCATTTTACTGACAAACATTTAATCAAAATGCATAGCTCAGGGTAGCGAGCATAAAATGAAGCTTACCTGGCTTTGGGAGGTATTAGTCACACCCCATACTGTAGTGACCACTGATAAAGAACCTGGTGGTTGGTTGGTGTTTTGCTGCCAAGGAACAGAGTCATAGGGGAAAGACCCATCACTGTAAAACACAAACACACCAGAGTCATGGTTTGGAACATGGAACATTAAATGAATGATGGTTGGGGAAGAGGGATTGATCTCTTAACTGACAAAGGCAGATGGAGCAATCTTAACTCCTCTCCAACTCATCAGCTTTATAAGTATCTTAGTATGTTTAAGAAGTGGGAAGTTTCTGTTTGGTTACAAGCAGAGCCATCACCACAGTATCAAAGCAGAAGGGAAATTAAGTTAATTCACTGCACATAAACCCATGTGGTGATGGATGAAATGAAGAGTTCACCCCTAAAACTCTGCCGCTTGCGGAAGTAAAAATAAAGTCTCGGCCACAGCTTTCAACAATAAGAACATTAAGCGAGCTGGATGTTTGGATGCATTCATTTTGCAAAAGTCATCCATCTCAAGCTCTTCAACAATCATTGCTTCAGCTGTCTCATTCCAATTCAATTAGGTTTTGAGACTAGACTGCAGCCCCACTGTCTGCAGTTGGTACCAGCATGGCCAGAAGAGCCTTTAAAGGAATAGCAGTTCAACAATAATTTTCAAAAAGTGAATTAAAATCCAGATGGAGTCCTACCGCACGATGGATGAGCTGTATGCCAAAAAGTATTAGCTAATCAGTATTCTAGAAAATCAACTGCTGAAACTAAAAATGCATCCTTTCAGATAACTATGTGGTGGAGAGCATTGGGTTTTTCCATAAACTAAATCCAACAGATACAAGCAAGAAGCCTGTCACATACAAGTCTTGGTGCATATAATACAGAGAAAGAATATGTATATGTATATATTTTGAACTAAAACACTGTGTATATACAATATAATTACTGGATATGTCAAACCTCAGTTAAATAACCAGAGGTATAAATACAATATTTTTTCCTACATATCCTATCATGTGTTATTATTCATTACTTTTTAAAGTTGATTTTACGTTTATGACTTTTTCCAGGTATATACAAACTATTTAAGGAACACATATATAGTCCTTTTATTTTAAAGAGATACTGACAGGCGGTATAGGCCATGAATTCATTTTTAAACTAAATTACAAATTATAACTCTGACCCTGCAAATGCTTATCTAGCTATCTAAGAAACTCATACAACTCCCATTATCATAGAATCTGAGTGCCCCACAATCTTTATCCTGCAAGGCAGGGAAGTACTGTTATCATTTTCCAGCTGAGACACGGAAGTGTCATGCGGGGGTCTGTGCTGAGCGGGGAATTGAATATGGGTATCCAGCTATCACTCTGACCACTGGACGATCTTTCCATTCCCCTATGCCTCAGGACTACTTGAGCGTAAAACTGAGTTAAATAGGTATGCACTTGAAGGATCAAAAGACATAACTATTTTTCTTTTCAAAACTTGGTGTGAATATTATGGGGTCTGGGATGTCCTTGTGTTAAGTACTGTACATGCATGCTCCTTGCCCCCAAAGAGACTACAATCTAGTAATAGTAAGATTAATAATATAAATTAAAATTAAGTAATTAACATACATTTTAAAAAGGGGGAAAAAAATCTTTAAAACTGTGATTATCTAATTTTTTAAAAAAACTTTCTCCTGACCAGACAGGAAGTCCACCAAAATCTACATTTTAATAATAATAAATTAATTAATATAATAATATATGGAGATATCCTATCTCCTAGATCTGGATAGGACCCTGAGAGGCCATCAAGTCCAGCCCCCTGCCTTCACTAGCAGAACCAAGTACTGATTTTGCCCCAGATCCCAAAGTGGCCCTCTCAAGGATTGAACTCACAACCCTGGGTCTAGCAGGCCAATGCTCAAACCACTGAGCTATCCCTCCCCCCATTTTCTGTCTTATACAGCACATCACAATGTTTTTCACTGCACAATGTTTCAGCACGATGCAATATTACTAATACATGTGGCAGCAACATCCCTCCATCAACATTGCAAAAAAGCATATACAGCCAGGGATGGGAGATCCTCAGGGTCTGGAGTTTGGGGCTGATTGGACTTCTGCTTTAATGCTTTCCACCTTTTCCCCTCTACCCATGTGATGTTTGCCACTTTTACTTCTTTCCTTACTCCTTTTGGTGGATGTCTACACTGGCCTTCTGTAGTCATTTATGGTACATTCTAACATTTGAAGAGAAATTCTCCCCACAACATTGTTCTTGTTGAACAGCACAAGGGTAATTAAGTCTCTTCATTACACCCTGGAGGGCAGTGAGTCAGCTGGAGTCCACTAAAAGAATATTGGCTAATTTAAAATAATGTTAATGAACCCCCACATGCTAGGGATCAGCAGAGGTGGGCCAAGCAGCAGAGGAAGCAGCAGCGGTGCCAGGGTTTTTGCCGCCCTAGGCGGCAGCGCTCCTCCTCAGAACATTTGGCGGCGGGGATCCTTCCGCTCCGCGTCTTCGGGGCGCTTCGGCGGCGGGTCCCAGAGCGAGTGAAGAAGCGGAGCGGAAGGACCCCCGCCGCCAAATTGACGCTGAGGACAGCAAAATGCTGCCCCCCAAATCCTGCCGCCCTAGGCGACTGCCTAGGGTCGCCTAGTGGAAGCGCCGGCCCTGAGAGGAAGCCATCAAATGAAAAGGAAGGCGATTACTTCTCAGGCTATGATGTAGCGATGCTGCAACCATTCATCACAGTGCAAAGAAGAAAGATATAAAAAAAGATTTCCTAGCTGCTAACGCATATTGAAGCCAATGGTCAGTCAACACTGATGTCAAAGAGGTAAGTGAGGCTTTACGTTTAAATAACTTTTTTTAAAATAGTGGCATTCAAAGAACAAACAGACAAACTAACACCATGAGTTGGTTTCAGATTTCCATATCAGACCTGGATTCACTTTTCTTCTCGACTCCTCTTCCAGGTTGACACAGGGTCGCAGGTGCCCATGATTCTTCACCACGCTGTCTATGGCACAGGTTCATAGGTCTTGGAGTTCCAGTCCTTTTCTCTCAACAGTCTTTCCATCGAACCTTTGGTCTTCCATGTCCTTTCTTGCTGTCCTCTTCCTCCTATGTTTTCTTTGCTGGTCGTTCTTCTCCCAATCTTATCACACCCAGCCTACCTCAGATGTGCACTCCCGGCCTTTCACGTAGAGTCCCAAGTTCATTTATCCCCTAATTTCTCCCAGGCACATGCTCTACCCTCAACTTGCCTGCTATTCTCCTCAGTATATTATTTTCTACTACCTATATCTTCTTTTCTTCCAACTCCATAAGGCCCACTGTTTCCAAACCATAGAGCAGGCAGGGACAAAAACATGCAGCATATACCTTTTCTTTCAGTTTGTTACTTAATTGCCAGTCCTGCAGTTCTCCTGCCACCTTTTTCACTGCCACCCATGCACACTGGGTTCTTATTTTCAATTCTCCAGATCTCCCTCTGATGGCACAAAGTGTACTTCCCAAGTACACTAATTCTTTCTTATGATTCAGCTTCTCTCCTGAAACTTCCATCAATAGCTCTTCTTCAGTTTTCTTTGTGTTTTACCTTCAGAGTATGATCTTCAAACTCAGATGCCCACTCTGATACCAATTTATCAGTTCCTCTTTGCCATCAGCAAAAAGGGCTAGCTTGTCAACATGCATTAGTTTTCTCTGTCTCTTCACAGGCTCGATTCTCCTACTAGTTGTCTCCATAACTAGGATGAAGTGAAGTGGACTCAGCACACTGCCATGTCTCAATCCCATCATCACCTCAAAATGCTTCAAAATTCCAAGTGCTATCACCATATTTCCTGACCCTCAATACAACTCCTTATTCTTGAAGTCCTGCTGCCATCCATCTCAATACTCCAAATGCCAATTCCTGCAGAACCAACTCATAGGCTTTCTCAAGATCAATAAATGCAACACAGCAATTACACCCTTTATCATTCTTTCAAACTTCTGTCTCATTGCAATTGTCCTTCCCTTCCTAAAAACATGTTGCTCCTCTCTTACATTTCCTCCACCTTACCCTCAAACTTGCCTGCAAAACTCTCTCAAGGAATTTGAGGGTTGACTTAACAAAGTGATGCCCCAATAGGCATTGGGATCATTTGCATCACCCTTACTCTTCTAAAGAGGCACGATCAATCCTGATCTCCAGTCTGGTATCCTTATTTGATCCCAGTAAACACACAGTAATCTATGAAACCTCTTTACTCCAGTACTTCCAACTACCTTGATCATATCAACAATTATGTCATCTTCACATCTGCTTTACCATTCTTCATCTTATTCAGTGCTGCTTCTACTTCATGTACAGAGATTGATATCTTTTGAAACATCCCCATAATTGTTGACGGTGTTTGTGCTCGCAAATCTTTCTTCTCATTTAACAACCTTTGAAAACATCTTTTCCATACCTCTACTACCTCTTTAGACTTAGTCACTGATTTCTTCATCTCTTGTGCTTCACTGTTTCTTTTTTGCCAACCCAAAAATCAACTTCCTGCCATCATCTTCCTCCAGCTTTCTGTACAAATTCCTCTTCAGCCTCCAATCTTGCGTTAGCAACTTCCTTTTTTTCCTGTTTGAATTTTTGATTGTTTCATTATCAAAACCTGCTTCCTCAAACTCTTTGAATAATACTTTTCTTCTTTTTAACTCCTCTGGTACATCACATTCTATCACCAACTTGTTCTCCGAAAGCACCCCATCTTTCTACTCATTCTGCCACGTATTATCTCCATGAAAAATTCTTCAAAATTCCTCAGTTCTCCCCCCACTTACTTCATTGCCATTGGCATGAAAGCCTTCACTGATTTTTTGGCAAACCTTTTCCTTTCTCCCCTCCCTTGCATAATCGCCAATGCAATTTCTTTCTCAATTTCATCTTCTTTCCTCAGGTTGCTGTCAGATTCCAGCTATTAATACTGTATGTTGTTCTGCTACATATTTATTTTATATCTTTCACCATTTTCATATGTTCTCTTCTTATCAAAGTACAGTCGACACAGTCTTTACTTTTTCCACTGTAGTATGTTACCAGGCAGGATTCTCTTTTTTCAATCCATGTAGT